TTTTATGTTTTGCGACGGGAACACTCTCAGCCTGTCGTCCACTGGGGCCTGGCGAAAACAACCACGGACACACAAGAGGAGTGAGATTGAAGCGCACGGACACTTTTGCACCCCAACTGAGCACTAAGATCGGACATCCAAGGAAATTAAAAAATAGAAAAGTCCGCCTGTTTTGTATGCTGGGGTTGTTACAGAAGGAACTGCTTTTTCTACAAGAGGAAAGAGACAGAAACGAGGAGATTTTAATAGTTGCCGGAAACGCAGAGTGGTAGATAGAGTCTCGCGCCAAGAACCAAAGAATGAGTACTGTACGAAGATTTGCACAGGATTTTCGACTCGCAGCTCGACACACGTCGCGAATTCATTTTGAGTACAGAAGAAGGCTTGATAGAGATGCGACGCGAGTCAAAAGTCGTACAGGGGGGGGGGGGGGGGGGGGGGGGGGGGGGCCCCCTTAAAATTTCCTTAATAGTTCGCTTTACGATAGTGCACATGGCCAAAAGTGCACCCCTTTCAGCGATGTCACCATTCTTACCACGTGTACACCAGTGCACGTAGAGCCATGCTGATGTAGAGATGCACACCGCTGCGCTGCGGATGACGACCACGACCGCATGCTTCAGAGGCACTGCGCCGTGCCAAACGAGCCCTGTTTGAAGCCTATCACCAACAAGAGTGCAAGAAGCAATTTTGTGGCCGGTGGGCCGTGACCTGTAGATAAACCTTCATTAGTTCGCGCTGTCAGTAGTGCGTATCTATAGCTTAAGGCACGAGGGTGCACTATTGAGGGGTACCTACTGTAGCACAAAAAGATGTGGATCCATTGCTCAGGACACAACTCCCCAGCTCCACACCCAACACCTGTGAAACAATGTATGATATGGAGGCGCATCCATTTCTCTAATTGCTGGATGCGTCAGAACTTGTCTTTCTTTATGATACTGTAAGGGTTAAGTAGTATATAAGTAGGGCTCGCGTTGCGGACTGTAGGTTCGTACCGGGCCAGAGGTTTGTGTCAAAACGCAGAGCCTACCTGCGAAAACTGTCCGACTGCACGGACTTCGCACTGGCTCGGACGGTCGGTCGTAGACCTGTCCATTGACACTTTGATAAAATCTCTTTTTCTAATTCTTTAAAGGAATTCCTCACGAAATCCCACAACACCGGCCTCCGCCTCTCACTGATTGGCATCAAGCTTAATTTTGGCACAACTCCTATCAGAAAAGTCAATACTGTACAACGCCGCTTGCATGGAGTCCATGCCATGGACAAAACCTGACGAAATCAAAAACAAACTTGAGCGAACAAATCGGGGCTCTCATCCATAGAACACGGAGGTGATGTTTGGGTGGCGGCTAGCCCCGAAATCTTCTGTCTTCACTATCATAGATCCGCTTGATATTTCAATCAAACAGAATCTTCGCTACTTCACACGCGCCTCTCCTCCATATAAAACCCTACTGCCCAGTGTCCAGAGTGCTTCTTCATGCACCAACTACGTAATAAAAAATATATATAAAATAACTGTACCTCCTCCGCACGCATTGTTAGTCTGTGCTCGATTTATCTGGATACCCTACTTAGTGATCATTACTCACGTTAGGGACGTCCGGTCTAGTTCTTTAATGACTCGACATTCGAGTCATGCAGTTTTGCAGCCTCTCAAATGTTTTCTGGGGTTCATGCATTCGTATCATCGCTATTCGAGGACAACCCGACACTCATGTACTTTCAAAGGAGAGGGTACGGTAAAAGAAAAACTAGAAAAAACCGTGATGTAGAAGATAACGAAGCGTGGTGCTCGGGGGTGCCGAAGCAGCTCCACGGTCCTAACTGATTGGTTGTATTGTACGCCTAGGGATTAGACTTCAGCCAGAGTCTTCTTATGCTTTACACTCTTTCATGTCGTCTTGCGTGCATGCTTAGGCAGTGTAGGACATGCGCCCGAGTGCAACTGTATCGTACTACCTTCCAAGGTACAGTATCTATAGACGAAACTTCTCAGAGCTCGGTTCTCTCAGAGCCTGAGAACAACCCCGACTCTTCCTTACGTTTTCAATTTTTACCTCCGTCATGCATTCTGCCCAACGCCCTCTCTGTCTGTGGGCTGCTCCTCGGACCGTCTCTACAGCCTTCGACAAAATGATGAGAGAAAGGGGAGACTACTCTGTCATGACAGAACCGTTTTCGTGTACGCTGAACCCTTCCAATTTCTACGTTCAGTCTGCGTTCAAAGCTTTCTATCGTCCCACTCCTTCTGGAGTCTTCGCCTCTACCCCTTCTTCATCAAACTAATTTCAATTTTCTCTTCTGCACAGATGCTTTTTATTATGGCCCAGAGCGCGTGTCTCCTCGCTTCGGTCTAGAATTCCCAGACAAAAGCTTCTCAACCGTTCTCAACTCAGTTCGCAAGCGAGCCACACATCTCCCCGTCTTCATCAAAGAAATGCCCTATCAGCTCGGCCCACTGCTGCGCCCAGATGTCATCTGTTCATTCCAGGGTTCTCTTTTGATTCGACACCCGGTATGGGTTCTCCCGTCGCTTGCTCGGATGTGGCCCGACTTTACAGATGAAGAGTCGGGCTACCGCGCCCTTAGTATAGTTCTTACCATACTGAAAAACTCCGGGGAAACACCACAAGTCATTGACAGCGATGACCTACGAAGAGATCCGGAGGGAGTCGTGGGGCAGTGGTGCGATAATGTGGGCATTCCCAGGAGACCCGACGCCTTGAACTGGCAACCGGGAATGCCGGACGACTGGCGGGTATGGGGCCCGTGGTTCACAAGGGCGAGTCAGTCGACCTGCTTTTTGGCACCGAGCACTGGGGGGCCGCCAACTGTAGATGAGAAGCTGGCTCGCAGGATCGATGCTCTCCGACCGCTTTATCGCCAGCTTGAGACCCACAAGATGCGTGTTGCGTAACACAAATACATAACTGGGATACTCGAAAGCATCCGGGACCTGCTGAGGTGTGGATTTTTTTATGGCCCAAAGTTCTTCAAAACGATCACAATGTGCTTTGTTCTTATAGTATTTTTTGGTTTAGTTTTGCGGCCCACTCATGATGGTCGAAGATCTGCATATGCGAGTCTGCATTTGTATTCACTGAGATTAGCAATCGGATGAATTGCGTGCACTATAGTCCCAGAGAGTTACATGCGATTGCAATTCTACGCAATGATATTGAATGTACAATTACCTAGTGTCCACCCGACCCCGCTTGTTCTCATATGAGGACGGCGATGTCCTCACATGAGGACAGCTCTTTTTTGCAAAAATATATAAATTAAATTGAACATTTAAAAAGCTATCTTGGACACTATTTCCTTAACGCACATGTTTTCGCCAATAACATCTTGCAGAACACCGGGATAGCAGCTTTGAATACGCAGGAAGATTAAAAATGCAATGCAGATTGAGTATATAGTTCCCTTTCAAAATGGCGTTTTTGGTTTCGAAGTTATTTTAGATGCGGTTTTAAGGCGGTTTAAAAAAGCGCCCTTCCCACACATGTCTATAAACGACCACGAAGAACATGCAATTCTCACAAAGTTCTTCTGTCCCCAAGTCAGAAGTCAAGTACGGTGGCGGGGGTATCTTTTTCTTTCTTGTCGAGGAAGCGGAAGTGAAGAATGAAAGAGGTCGAATAATGTCCGCATATGAGGACAAAGGTCCAATAGACATTAGGGCAACGAAACTGCCTTTATTATTGAATGAAGCGATCAGGTATTTACAGTAGGCCACTCAAAAAGGATATCCCGGACTCTCCGGAATTACAACCTTAGCCTCGAGACGAATGGCTTGCTGAAAGGATGCACTCACTACACATGAGTCATTCGGACTCAGGTTCTGTCGATCATCTTTCAGAAAATGATGAAACGTACGAAGAAGGTGGTCAAAATTCACATTGAAGAATATGGTAATTATTTCGTCAACTTCCGAGCGCTCTCTCTTTCGTGGGATATTTGCTGTAGGTAGATGTGTCTGTACTTAAGGGGACTAGCTCCTCTCTTCCCTTCATCAACACGCAGCACAACAACAAAAAAAGGTATTGTTCACGAATCTCGGGTCTCCACCGTGTTGCGTGGCTTGATACTGAAGTGGTTACGCATGCTCGGGGATGCACGGCGAGCACTGTTCCATCCGTGTGCAATTTTTCCTCATAGTATTGCGTGGCATTCAAAGTATCCCCCACGAAAAATCAAGTAGGGCGTTGTCAAGCGTCAACTTTCAAATACAGGTTCTATACATCTCTATAAAACCTACAACTCTCACCGCAGTGAGAGGGGTGCACCATCTTGGTCCCCGTTCTGTTTTTGCCGTCCCTTTTTCCCTCACCAGTTCAACAAACGCGTGTAGACTCCGAACAGGTATCGACATCTACGCTTAAACTATCAAGTTTATTGGAAGCAATTGCCCCTCGAGGAACGTGCTGCAAATATATTTGGTGAAATCACTAACTGTCCTGATCTTCCCCACATTCGTAGAAGTGCAGGCTGTGCGCGCACGTGTTTTCCCTAACTACACTCGCCATTCTCCACATTTTTAATATCTCTACAGTAGATCTTATCCTTTCTACTGTACAGATTTATCCGCGCGAACAATCGCGTGGAGACTGGATCACTTGCGGAGTGTCTGTATACCCTTGTGAGAATGCTCACCATCAATGAAAAAGGAGGCTAGGCCATGTTCTAGGAAGCTTCTTGCTTCTTGTCCAGAAACGTTTCAAATGCATTTTCAGAATCGCGTCTCATGACATTTAAATAAATTTCTACAGTCGCGAGATAGCAAGTTTCTGATGGCAGCTACTTAAGCCGCCAACATGCAAACGACAGAATAGTAGGACTGCACGTTCCTGTAGACCAGTCATGCCACTCTTTATTTCAGCTATACTCGCTCACACTGAACTACGCAACTCTGATTGAAGGGAATTACCTCTCGTTACCAGGTACAGTACTGGTCATCTATAGAGAGATTAGTGACATACTGAGACTACTTAGACTTCGAAACTAGCTTCGAGAACAATCTTTCCGTCCACACTGGAGCGACCTCTCCTCTGGAAGACCCTCACACCATTGACGATAGCATTAACAGTGAACCTGGTCCGCCCACCGCAGTTGTTGAAGTGGCGGAGCGTGATCTCGTAGGTTCCGGGCTTGGCAGTATCGAAGACAACCGCTTCCTTTCCTTGGGGAGGACCGCCTTGGCACCGGCCGATGTTGTTGTCTTTGATTAGACGTCCGCCACCACCATCGGGGTCCTGAACAGAGAGATCAAAGTCATCAGCAGAATCCCATGCTACCTCAACCAAGATCGCTTGATTAATTGTTCTGAATGAAACGCAGTCCCTCTCGTTGTTGGTCGAGATGGTGCGGAACACAGATCCATCTGTGTTTTCGATGTTATAGCGCCTAATGGGAAGAGTGACACATAAATCGTCCAAGAAATCCTCTTGATTTCCGCTGCTAGCACGGCGACCAATACCTTGCAAACCACCTCCGTACAAGATATTGTACAACCGGAAGTAGTTTTTGGGGAACATAGGTGAAAGAGTTGGTGGTGGTGGTGGTCTGTATTGGTCAATCCGACTTGTTATTCCGTCTTTGGATACTGTGGCAGTTCCAGTGCGCTCGACAGTTCCCAAAGTCCTGTTGTTGGGGAAGCTACGGCAGATGTAGCCGGTGCGACTAGTATCCGGCCCACGGAGACGGATTCGAGCTCCTTTGGGACGGACGTCTGGAGGATCGCTTCCATTCAGCGGGCAGATCCTGAAGCGACACTTTCTCCCACATTGGGCGTTGACAGTCCATGTCGCCGTAGCGAAGAGAAATACGACAACGAAAAGCTTGAACATTGTCCGAGGCCTGTTCGGATGTGGTTTTGAGTTAACTTCCTGTTTTCGAGTTGTACTTCGAATGTACTACCGGTGAATGTTTCCAATTGTCGACCCCGAACATCGCCCATCTTTATATAGTGATTTTTAGTTCTCTTTCCTTCCTGTCTTGGATCTTCATCTACCAAATCTGGAACCAAATTGGGTCTAAGGCCGGAAGGGTGCCATTCTACGCGTAAAGACTTGAAAAATGCCGTATTATTTGCAACTTTTAACGTTTCGCATGAACAGATTTCAATATCTCCCCACTGCACATAGTCATGTTGGCACCCAAATGTCAAGTATCAGAGACACATAGAAATAGGGTTTCCAACGATAAGTGTGAAGAGGGTATCCACCCCCCCCCCCCCCCCCCCCCCCCCTCAACCTCTGAAGTATGAATTGTGATAGACTGCAAACTCATAACCGGACACCTGCAGCGGCAAGATTTCTGCCAAGTAAAACAATAAAAGCAGACAAAAAGCCTATTTTGTTGTCATTGCTCCGAAAAAACTTTGTGATGTAAAGCTTACTTACAAATAATGACATCTGTGTCTTCCTCCATGTCCACGCACTTGTCAAACATCAAGGTGGCACTTCTCCTCGAAAAAGATGGACGAAGAGAAACGTTTCGTGGGACAAGTGAAGCTTCATATCGTTTGAACAGGCGAATATATTGGAATAAAATCACAGCATGAAGTGACAGTGTCAGAAGTCTTTCACCAAACGTATTGTGATGCACCCGACATGTAGGAGAATTGGGATAAATAGGTTTTGCGGAAGAAATCGTGTTTTGTAGGCGACATTTCAATCAGCTGTGCAAGAGGATGTCTCTTGTCCTAGAGTATGGGAAAAAGGGAGTTGTATGAAGACACGAGTTCTTCATCAGTTGTCAGTGACTGCCAATGAGGATTCCTACGCCTGCATCACGTTTTACTCACATTTGCTGTTGGGTACGTTCGCTCAGGGAACTTTATCTTTCAAGGAAGACGGTCTGAAATGCAAGGTTGAAAAAAAGGTGTAGAACGTCATGTAACAAACCATTGGTCTGGGGAAGTTCTAAAAAGCTCAAAGGTCAGAAACTTTTCGTGTAACTTATTTTCGGGAAATGCGATTCTGTCCACATGAGAAGAGACATATGCGTTTCGGTTCATTGAGTTGACAAGGGCTCTAAGAAAAAAAATTCTCGCAGCGAGATGAAAATCAGTAGTTGAACGAATCATGCGTTGGAGAAGAATTTTAGATGAACCAGCCATCATTCTATCACCTACCGTCCTCTTCAACCACAACAAACACACAGACTTCTGTATTAAGGTCATTAGTGTCAGCAATGCACGCTCGAGTCCGCTGCAAGAAAACTGCGTTTAGAAATACTGAGCTAGGTATCATCGAGCTTGCTGCTGGGTTATGAAGTTAGCAGAAAGTTTGACAAGCTACCATAATCAAACAGCAATGTTTTCAGTATTGCACTGTAACTTATACCTGAAGAGACTATCTGCGGATCATCAGCGGTCGCAATATTTGTAGTTCGGTTAGATTACAGGCAGTTTCTCCTCGTGCAGAGTTTCTATTGTTAAATAATTATGATTACTTGCCGTGTGGATTGACTATATCTTTTCTGAATGTCGAATATCTCTTTCACCCGCTCTTTCACCCGATACTAACGTCGAATGGAAATCATGATTCCGCTGCGGTATAAACAAAACAGGTATCTATCCGCCAACTAGTGCCCTGTGCCTACAAACCCCTCCCCGGAACGGAGATTAACTGACAGACTGGCTGTTGTCCACTCAAAGACTCACATCCCGCGCTGGCTTTTCGTAAAAGAATACAATTTTAATATTTCCTCTTGTAGAACTTGTTTGTTTAAACATACAACCGTTTAAAAAGGGGAAAGGACCCATTCCAAAATTGAAGAAAAGTGACAATGCACGAAACCTGTCAATTGCACGTTTGTGTCGTTTGGGTTTAGCTACCCTACCCTGAAGGGTAACGATTGCGTAGCAAAAAAATATGGGGAAAGCATTCTTTACATTTTAGTGCTGGGACATTGCACTCGCCACCCCGTGGCGGAAGCCGTGGACTCAATGTCCACGCCGTGAGATTGAGAATTAAATAATGATGAGGAAGCAAACATGCAGGGGTGAGACTACCCTTGTGTACCCTCAAATAGATCACGAAGGTATTCGTACAGCACATAAAGAGATGCAATCAGGATAAATGAATGGTTATGATTGTATCCAGCGATATGTCTCTGTTGACACGTAGGCCAGAAATTGAGCTCATGTGGCCCTTGTTCTCGCACGAGTAACTGGAAATCGAGCTGGGACAATAAACGCAACGGGAAAGAGGAACGGTTCCTCTCATAACGAATGCGGGTTTAGGGTTATTCTCTTTAGGGATCCACGACGAAGTGGTCAAGAAGAAGTGTGTCGAGATTGCGGTGCATCCCGCATTCGCATTCATGCACGGTATTGTCATGAATCATCTACTAGCTTCTGCTACAAAATATACAAACGTATACAGCATGTACCCTTAGGGTACTGTATTATACTGTATATCGTATGCGACGTCCCTCCGTACCCAATGGTGTCGGCATCAGCCTGGCACATGCGGGATGCAAGACCTGCTGAGGTCACATCTCTGCTTGAAAACGGCTCCTTCTATTACCTGTCATCGACATGCTGACGTCGTCATATCAGTAAAGCCTGCCATCTCAGATGTCGATCGACCTTCCGAAGCACGGTACCATTCCACCTTTGACTTTTGACGTGTCCTTTCGGTAGTAGGTAAAAGTGAAAGTGACAGTGCCAGCGTCTACGGCACAAGTACAAACAAACTAGATGGCCAGTGGTGGCGCAATAACAAAAAGACGACTCCCCGCCTGGAATGGACTTGCCAACGCAAACACCTGTGATCCCACCAAAAAAAGCAGTTCGCGTGGTCAACGCGAATGGCAAGTCTAGACACGGCGTAACGCTCTCTCGAAAGCCGAGTCCCTGCGCCGGTCCAGTGCCTGACCTCTACGACCCGCTACGATTTGTCTCTTGTCGCGGGCACGCTGACAACTGCCTCTACGAGGATCAGTGGACAAGCGCAATAAAAAACTCGAGTACAACAGCTTGGCGACGTCCCGGCGCCTGCCCGGAGGCCCGGCGTCCGTTCACGGCTTGTCGACGAGGCACGGCCACGGACTGTGTCCTATGGCGGTCGCGGGCGAGCGCGCCGTTAGTACCACCCGCCACTGCGTGGCGCGCGCGCAGCGCCGAACATTCAAGCTGATGGAGTGGGAAAAGAGAAGTCGCGGGAGTCAACTCTGGCTGACTATTGTTGACTCGCCACAGCTAGCGTTCAACGGCGGCGATATGTCAGGCGACATTCTTGTCTTCCGCGCGTGGTGAAATGGGCGCGACGACTTGTCCCCTTGTGCGCGGAGGCGCAGCTCTTTCGTCCAAAACCCTAGATGATTCCCGAAGCATGGTTGAACTGAGGCCTCGCTTGCGGTCTCTTTCCCTGTGCCAAATGTAGCCGCGCCGCAGAGCACTATGTAATGGTAGCGCGTAGAGGCGTCGGAGATGCATATGGGATGCGATGGGTAGGCGGACGTACCGGCCGGTACGCCGTGGCGCGCAAGCGTGAAAGCGGCGCGGCGCTCCCCGGGGGCATGGGATGCGGAGCACGGGATGGGGGGCACGGGATGCGGAGGGTGCACGCGGGGCGCGGAGGGTGCACGCGGGGCGCGGGCAAATATGGGAAGACGGACGGGCCGTCCGTGGAAGGCGGCAGTCGAGCGCGGCTTGGAGCGGGTCGCTCCACTCAAGCGCCCTCGCGGGGGCTTGTGTGATGCTCAGAAGAGAGGCACAACGGTTGATCCCCGATATCCAGGAATTGAATCCTTTCACTCCCCACCTCCCAGATTATTCCCTCCAAGCCCTCCTGCCCCGCCTCCCCCGCTACGCTCAACCGCCCCTCCCGCCCCAAACAAACCAAACATGCCGTCCTGCTTCGTCCCCCAGTGCAGAGCCACGCGGACGCAGCAATGGTGCACGGGCCCAAACGGCCCGCGCACCCTCTGCTTCCGCTGCTACGCCCGCTACAGCTCGTATCGTCTCCCGGTCTTCCTCACCGAGGAAAACACCCTCTCCGTCATCTGCACATCCAACGCCAAGCCGGTCCGCATCACGGGTTTCGCCCGCCGCGCTGCCGGCACGCACCAGCGCGACATCGCCCGCCCGTTCTACCTGCTCACGACGGCCCCGCCCGGCGCAAAGCCGGTCGCGGCCCACCCTGACTACCCACCGTCGCTCGGCCCCGCTCACGCCGTCGCCCCGCCTCAAAACCCCGCCCCACCGCCCACCTTCATGCGCCCGCCTCCGCTCCCCGTCACCCGGCCCCCGCTCCGCTCGTGCCTCCGCGCCGAGTGCAGCCGCGTGTGCTACAAGCTCTTCACCGGCCCGGACGGCCAGGCTACCCTGTGCGGCGCGTGCTACCGCCACTACATCTCGCGCCGTCTGCTGCTCTTCCAGCACCAACCCTCGGGCCGCCTGTCCATTCTGTGGCGCCCCGGCTTGAAGGTCGTCAAGGTCGCCACGTGGCCCGAGTGCATCCCCGCCCGCGACGGCGCCCTCCAGCCCTCGCAGTCGTCGCTCATTCACCCGAAAGTCATCCCGGCCACGCAGGTTGACGTGTGGAAGTGGAAGCTCACCTCCGGATGGCTCGGCCCCTGGCCCAAGGAGAAGCAGCTGCCAGATGACACAAAACCGCTACCCGCAAGCGCAGTCGAAGACGACCGCGACCTCAACCTCGTCCAGCCCAAGACCCGAGCGCCCCGGCGCGGCCGTGAGTCGGACGCCCTCTTTCCGTCACAACTGTCCGTCCCGGAGCCGCCGCTATCTCCCGGCTTGGCCGCCCCGCGTCCCGCACATGGGTTGCGACAAGCCACGCCGCCGCGCAACCATCTAGAGTTTTCCAAGCCGCGCGCGTCGCCGATCGCCCCCCCGCCCGGCCTGCGCCGTCCCGTCCAGCTCTGTTTTTCTCGGCCGCTCACAGTCGCGTCTGCGCGCGAGGAAGCCGAGCTCTTTGAGCAGCTCTCCGCTATGCCAGACGACGCGTCAGAGAAGGCCGATCAGACCGACGCTTCGCCAGCACCGTTGGCCGGGCCGTCTCACCGCCAAGCGCAGGCGTGGAACGATCAAGGTTCGCGGAAGAGGCGCTGTTCGGACCCTGAATGGACCCCGGGTAGTGAAGAAAGGAGGGCACAGGACGGAGTCTATGACAATTTTGCAAGGAAAAAACGGAAGAGCTTCGTAGAATATGGAGGGGTCGCCGCTACTTCGCGAAAGCAGAAACTAGAGGACTGCCTCTATGATGAGAGTGACGATGAGGATGAAAGTGTGACTAAGGCGGAAAGTGATTTCACGGAGGACGATGCCTCTCCAATGCGAAGCAGATGGCGTCGAAGCAGATGGCGTCGTCATTATCCACATCCCCGCAGCGTTTGTATGCGCCCGGGGTGTGGTGTACGGCCAGGGTTGCGTTTATCAACAGAGAGGGCCGGGAGCAGGGACTCAGTAGCCGAGCGGCGGTATTTGGGGCGCAATTGGCGGACAGGCCCGGACGGTTTGAAGACTCTCTGTAAGGATTGCAGCCGAAACTATGCAAAGGGCAAGTTTCTTCTGTACAAGGATCCCCAAACGAACCAGGTGTCCATTACCGAGCATCCTGGGTGGATAAGGTCAAAGCTGGTCGGGTTTTGGCAGTCGCGGAAAATGACCAATGATTTACTACGTCCCGAGGTGAGGGCTCTCGGTCCCCATGAGGTGCTGCGATTTCACAGGCGCAGAAGGAGGACACGCCAGCTTTCTACAAAACTGGATGAGGCACCTACCATACAAGACGAACGGAAGGCGCGAGACGAACTCGAGCATAGTATTAAGAAAGAACTTGAGGGGCCGCAATTGAGTGATGGCGATAAGGCACATTTTCACACGACACATTCACCCATGGCACCAAAGGCCAAATATACCCGCGAGACAAGCAGGGCGTTTACGCGTGCGAACAGTCGCTGGAAGCAGAGTCGCCAGGAAAGGAGACAGTCGTGGCTTGCAGAGGTGGATGCCTTCGGGCAGACGGAGCCGTCTTCCCCGCTCTCGAGCACTGAACGCGAGATCGCGTCTGGGACACGAGTATAAGCGGACGATTACTCAACGAAGACACCAATCGGCGCGAGAACTCACGATCATTGCGGTAGGCATCCCACAGGTGGGGGTCTAAATCTGCTCTTATCAAGATCACAAGGATCGCAGACGGACACGTTTGCGGATGCCACAAACGTACAATTCTGAGAATGGAACCTGAAGATGGCCGTGGGCATCGACGGAGGCTGAACATCTCTCGCCTGTGCAATAGTCTTGAGAACGATTTTGGGATTCCTGGGTCGTCACTGCGGGACGCCATAGGCGTTGACAAAGGGCATATGTGAAGGTGAAAAGAACGAGCGACCCTTCCCGCGCGATAGTTCTCGGTCGATTTCACAGGTAATCTCCGCATCACAAGGGCGAGTGTGAACGTGCAAGAGAACTTCACGAAAAAGGAAAAGTGAGGCACAAAGCTTGAAGACCGCTAGAGCATTGTATATGAGAGGAATTTGCACTAGGGCGTCGTCTTTGTTTTCTCGCTTTCCTTCCTTGTGTAATGTGGGTACTCAACAATCTGCGCTGCAGATCGTTTCACAGGAGCAAGCTACATACATTATTTGAAGAGTGTCCTTTCTGTGCACTACTAGTTCAAGATTGCCTGAATCAGCTGGTCTACGACAAGGTCGCCGAGGTATATTAAGACTAGAAACGTCGCAAGAGGGAGATAAATCAAACGCCAGTTGAGTCTGCTTCGCGCAGGACGCGAAGCAGACACCCTACATCGGATCGAGGGCGTTCTTCTGTTCCATGTAGAAACGCATTACATCAGAAGGTCTATCGTCGGAAGACGACCAGGCCAAGCGTCACGTTGTCGGGTATCGGCTCGGCGAATTCCACCGTATCAAACCTGCTAGTCGGGGCGACGATGTAGTCTCCTGTGACTGCCACAGTCGTCGGAAAGCCAAACTGGGGCGACGAGTACTTTCGTAGAAACACGGCGGAGACTTTACGATCATCGCCCATGCCAAGTCTCCATTGGGATATCAGATTTTCTCTATTCTGCGCGACGAACAGCAAGGAGCCCCCTTTCTTCCTATCAATGTCCAGGCCATCTGCGCCAAGCATAGAACCTGGCGGGAGGATTTGTTGCACTCTGTTTCGGTTCAAGAGATCGACGAAGAAGATGGTGCCTAGATCTAAATGAACAAGGATAATTCCGCCCTTGTATTTGACGAGCCCGTTCGCGCTTGCCAAGTCCGATTTGAACAGCGGTTGCGGTAGGTGAATGGTGTCGATATCACATTCGGGCAATTTGGCGAGAGAGAGCTTGTAGATTCTTCCGAGCAAAGAGTCTGTGTAGTAGGCGTAGTCACGATCCGCAATAACATCGTTGACCAGCGCATTTTCATCCCTTACTGGGCATGCAGCGATTTCGTTTCCAGTAGCCGTGTCGTAAACGTACAGGTTAGCAACAGGGAAGAACGGAGCGCCTCCTCCTGCGGCAAAGATTCGACCCTTTCGACTGTGGATTCCGACAGAGGTGCGATTTGGCGGGGCTCGCACGGCCCGTGTTACGAGACGTGTGGATACGTCGGCGAGGTAGATATCACCAGTTCGAAGGTCAGCGAACAGAAAGTTGGTTCCTGCAGCATGGGCTACGCCTTCCACCTGCACTTGCGGTGGGTGCGGAATGAAAGTGGCACGAAACAGAGGGAGAAGAGATATCAAGAATGCAATGGTGAGGCTCATTTCGTGACGGAAGGCTGTCACGAAATAATGCAGAAGTTGGAAGGTGCACGATTCAAGTCGGTGGCTTGCTGGAACGTGAGTGTTGCTGCGAGATAGCTGGTGATGATAAAGGCATCTACGGTACCCTGGTACCGATGGTACCCTTGGGGGGTATCGCTTGCAGATCTCTACCGTACCCTACAGTGCCTTGGGACAGTGTACCACTCCAGGAAAGTATAATTTGGTAACATCTTTTTTAAATTAACTTAAAAACTACTTCCCCTTGCCCAAATGAACGCCAATAGTGCATTATTTCACCTCGTGCTATGGTACTGCACTATTGAACGGTATGGACTGTAGTGTAGAAGCTTCTACTGTATACCCAGGGTAACCTACCCCAGATGTAGACCATCTTCCCGAGAATGAGACATGTCTGCACATTTCATTGGTGATCGTGGCATTAGGACGGCGGGCACCCAAAAAGCGTGAAAATCGGACCGCGATTCCGTCTGTCGCCAGCCGTCCGGGTTCTCCCTGGTTGTAAATAAAGCTTTCCCCAGCCGCCCAGGTGCACGCTCTTGTGCTGTACCTCAAGGGTACGGTACACAGTGTCACAGCCAAAGAGTATCAGGGCCTTTCTACGGGTTTTCTACCGGGCACTTATCCAGTAGAGCCAAACCGCGAGTGATGATGAAATGCGCAAAAACAAATAAAAATAATAGTATCTGTCAGTAGATGCGCACGTACAGTAGAAAACCAGTTCGCGCGCACCAAATTCATATCTACACAGTAAAATCGCAATTCACTAGGAAATGCGCAGTACAGCACCTTCACCGCATTTACTGATTAAAATCAAAGAGAACACAATGCATTACCCGTACAGTACTCTAAAACAAACCACGTAAATGGAAGGAGATGCGCACGTAACACCTCCCTACTCCGTGTCACTGTCATCAAACAGTGCACGACGCGTGCCACTAGACATGCGAACGCGGCGATTTTCTGTGTTTCCAACGTGTACACGGCGCCTCTTTCGCATCTGACTAGTTGATACGGTCCGTAGGCGATTACGTATACCAGTGCTGTGCTGCCCGTCCTCGAAGCGGAGAGGGCGGGCCCTGACACTCAGATTGGTCAACGCCAATCACGCTTTGAACACGTGCTCGAACATTCCCTCTCCCCAGCGCCACTTATGAGAAACTACTGTCCATCAACTGCACATTCTTCCAAAGTAGTTTTCTACTATGACACGATCAGAAGATACTTGGCCATTGTGGTCCACGTCGTCCAAAGACAGCTTTGAACGTGCCGGGGTTCGCACCGGGTGCGCTACACGTAGATCTTCGGCTGCACCTTGATATCCCTTGTACGCCAGTATGGCCCAGTAGTCATCCATAAATTCGCTCAATCGTCCCTCATCCGTAAACAGCATATAACGTACCCCCTTTTTAGATGCCTCTTCATGAAAGGGTCTGTTACGACGAAATGTCTCCAGATCCGACACGGAGCCCGGATAGTGCTCCGTGCACCGAATAGCAAGACCAGTAGGCAGTACCGAGACTTCCACTTTGTACCCATACAGCTTATGCTTACCGGAGAAGTATCGCTTCCCTTCTGATGTATTTCCACTTGGACGATTGCTCTGCTGAAAAGTGACGTCGACAGCATATCTCCCGTATTCAAAATTCGAAAACACCCGGTCCTCCAGACGACACTTGGCCATTGTCCATTTTTCTTCGACGCGTGCCACACATATATCGTACATGTATTCTGATATCATACGTAGAAATCCAGTTATCAAACGTTCTACAGTAGAACATTTAACAGAAAATAAACGAGCTGTAAAGTTCCATTGCTGACCATGCTTGAGTACAGTAAGTGTCATAAAGAGAACATCCTGGGCCTTGTACTGTGTTCCTTTACCTCTGCCAAAACTCCAATTCTTGGATACGCAGTCTTCAATCATAACCCATAGTTCGAAGAATTGAGAGGAATCGAAATTACACATTGCCTTAATAGATTGAGAACCTCCGTCATTGTAAAACGTGTCATAAACCCGACAATTGGAGCCGTTCTCATCATCACTGGCGACCACGCCGTCATCAATGTGATCGACGATTTCATTGACGTGTCGGTTGGTGATGTCCGAAAGAGCCTGAACAGCGCGGGAGGGATTCATTTTTGAAATTGTAAAAGGAGTGGGAGAAATGAGGAGCAGCTGCAACAAGTGGTTTTTCTATATCAACTGCGCAGTTGTTCCATTTTATAGTGTTTAGTTTGAGTAGACTGAAACTGCGAGGCATATCTCACAAAAAGCGGGCTTTCCCGTTTTTGAAAGTGGACTCGCAATTGAAAATATGATGCACAACTTTTGCTATAATTTGCGTTGCTGTATTATTTGCACACTTAGTTTACTTTTCTACTGATATTCGCCAAACTCAAAGTGCTTTCACGCAACTGCAATACTTGAGGTACTGTACGTAGTTACCCTTGTCTGCATTTAATAATAACATAGGGTATTCGACCCTTCCGTGAAGTCTTAGCTCTGTTGTAACTTTCTTAGCTCTGTTGTAAATAAAGGACAGTAGAGGGAGGGTTTATGCACCTGGATTTCGCTAATTGTAATTAAAATTTTCAGAAAAACTGTAGAACATGACAAGTATTACACGTTGCGGCTATTATGTTGCTGCTTGCGACTACAGTCTAATAATAAAAATAATAAGGGAAATATCACAACTAGGTGGGGAATTAGTGCCATTTGACTTTATCAGTACGCGAATTCCGGAAAAATAACAACTCAGTGGGGGAAATCCGGAAAAGTAACACACCAGTAGGGGAAAAAACCTCTTCATACGCCAAAAACCCCCCGTAACAGAAGTGGTAGGGGAAACTAGTACATGGGGCTCCATCAGTAGAGGAACTGATCCGCTGTGACAAGTTTGATGGGCGAAAACAAATTTAAGCATATCTAGTAGGCGAATGTATTACCTCAGTCATCCTTAAAGAGCTGACGCAGTTCACAGTTGCGTGCCGTATGTCCCTTGAGATGGCATAGGGAGCACGAGTAAGAACGTTTTCGAGCTCCCGGCCCGGCTTCATACCATGAACGCATCCGTTTCCCAGCATTTCGGACCGGTCTCCCGCGGGGGTGGATCAATAGCCACTGGTATATTAATTGATGATCCTGACAAGACCTGCTCTTGGGCATCGAGTATCACCCTGTCGACATCTGCTTGAATCGGCATTGGAAAGATTGCTCCATCGTGCTGTTCTTTCCACGCGACTGTCAAATTTCTCGCCCCAATAAACTTGAACAAATTCATTGAGCCATACTTTTCACATATCACGGCTGTTCCGTGCGAGCACGGAAACATGGCATCGTCTAAAGAAAAAGCACAGCACGACGGTGACTCTTGTTCCTCTTTGTTGAGACCCACCCGCCTAGTTTTGTTTCCGTTAACTGCACTGACCACTGTTGCTTCCATATGGTTTGTGCCATCTAAAAACTTGACATGCTTTTGATAGGGCCTACTTCGACGGATCAACATCGCCAAATGTCTTTCAATGTGTGGCGGAACAGGTTACTCACAATTGAGAGCCACGTTCTGTCCTTTAAAAAATGCCTTTCGCTGCAATTCAAGAATAGTTCGTAACATCGAGTGTGGTTCTACACTTCGAATTTGATTTCGCAGTGATGCACTTATTGGGCTTTCGGCCGCCTGCAAAGTTGTAATCAAGTCTTGCAGCCCGGCGTATGCTCGATATAGAGCCGTGTCTGGAAATCTAGATAGATATTTGGAGGTTTTCGATCCATACGTCCGTTTCACCGCGTCCACGGCACTACGTGAGGGAGCGAGCACGGCTTTATCGTATTGAGCGTGTCGTATCTTACACGTGTACATAGCACTCCCACAGTACTTAACACCGTCGTCGCTCATGCCCCCAGTAAAGACGACCCCAGGTCTTGAGTCTCTCCTACAGGGTATAGGCCCTTCCTTTTCTTTCTTCCCGCTCCCACTGCCCACCCTCTCCATTCCCCCTTCATCCCCCCACAACCAACCGGCCCACGGCCGATCATCGCATCACACAACCGCCAAAACCGGCCCACGGCCGATCCGCACATCCCCCACACCAACCATTTCTTCACCTGAGACTCCCCCCCTATCCCTGACCTACTACCCCCCCTCCACATCCCCAACTACCACCAATCATCCACCCACCATGGCATCCCCGCCCACATCTGACGGTCCCCGCATTTCCGTCACTCAACTGACACTCACCAATTTCAACTATTGGCACAACAACCTGATCCTCGTAGCCTCCATCAACAATTGCGACGGCCACCTGGACAACAACCCTCCCCTCCCCACTGACACAGAAGACATCCGATCTCACACACGCCAGAAACGCTTTGCCCTTGCCCTTATCTTCCACAGTCTGTCCGAAGAAGTTCGACCCCTCCTCTCTGACGACGACCTCCTTCTCTCTCCTTACGATTTATGCAACAGACTCCACGAGATCACCACCGCAAACCCCAGCAATGCCCCCTACCTGCTGACAGCCCTCGCT